GTCTTTGTCCTTAAGTTTCTTGAAGTGATATATCACATTTATTGACTTTTGTATGTTGAACCATCATTGCATCCCTGGGATGAATCCCACTTGATCATACTGTATAATTTTTTAAATATGTTGCTGTATTCTGATTGCTAATATTTTGTTGAGGATTTTAGCATCTAGGTTCATCAAGGATATTGGCCTGTAATTTTCTTTATTTGTTGTGTCTTTATCTGGTTTTGGTATCAGTTATGTTAGCCTAAAAGAATGAGTTTATGAGACTAGCTTCTGTTTCAATTGCTTGGAATAGTTTGAGGAGAATTGGTGTTAACTCCTCTTTAAAAGTTTGATAGAATTCAGCTGTAAAACCATCCGGACCTGGACCTTTCTTTGTTGGAATATTGCTAATTACCACTTCAAACTCCTTGCTTTTTATTGGTCTATTCAGGTTTTCCATCTCTTCTTGGTTCAGTCTGGGTAGTTTGTATGTGTCTAGAAACTTATCCATATGTTTCAGATTTTCATATTTGTTGTCATACAGTTGTTTATAATAGTCTCTAATGATTCTTTGTATTTCTGTGGTATTGGTTGTAATGTCTCCCTTTTCATTTCTGATTTTTGTTATGTGGGTCTTCTCTCTTCTTTTTTATGTTAACCTAGCTAATGGTTTGTCTATTTTACTTCTTAAAAAACCAACTTTTTGTTTTGTTCATCTTTTCTATTGTTTTTTTGGGTCTCTATTTCATTTAGTTCTGCTCTGATCTTAATTATTTCTTTCCATCTACTACCTTTAGGTTTGGATTGTTGTTGTTTTTCAAGTTCTTTGAGGTATAGTGTTAGGTCATTTATTTGAAATCTTTCCATTCTTTTTTTTTTTTTTTTTGTCTTTTTCGTGACCGGTAAGGAGATCGCAACCCTTGGTGTGGTGTCGCCCACACCGCACTCAGCCAGTGAGTGCACCGGCCATTCCTATATAGGATCCGAACCTGCGGCGGGAGTGTCGCTGCGCTCCCAGCGGCGTACTCTCCCCAGTGAGCCATGGGGCCAGCCCTCTTTCCATTCTTTTGATGTAAGCACTTACTGCAATAAATTTGCCTCTTCGTACTGCTTTTGCAGTATCCCACAGGTTTTGGTATGATGTATCTTTATTTTCATTAGTTTCTAGAAATTCTTTGATTTCCTGTTTAATTCCTTCTTGGACCTATAGGTCATTCAGGAGCCTGTTATTTAGTTTCCATGTATTTGTATAGTTTCCAGAGTTTTGCTTATTATTTATTTCCTATTTTAGTCCATTGTGGTCTGAAAAGATACTTGGAATGATTTCAATTTTTTAAAAAATTTGCTGAGACCTAATATGTGGTCTATCCTGGAGAATGTTCCATGAGCTGATGAGAAGAAAGTACATTCTTTAGTTGTTGGGTGAAATGTTCTGTATATATCTGCCAAGTCCAGTTGGTCTAAGGTGTAGATTAAATCCTGTGTCTCTTTGTTGACGTGTTGCCTATAAGATCTGTCCCATACTGCGAGAGTGGTGTTCAGATCACCCACTACTATGTATTAGGTCCTATTACTTTCTTTAGGTCTAAGAGTGTTTGCTTTATATATCTGGGTGCTCCAGTATTGGGTGCATATGTGTGTATGATTGTCATGTCTTTTAGCTGGATAGATCCCTTTATCATTATGTAGTGGCTTTCTTTGTCTCTTATTATGTTTTTGGTTTAAAGTCTATTTTTTCTGATATAAGAATAGCTACTCCTGCTTGTGTTTGGTTTCCATTTACATGGTATGTTTTGTTCCATCCCTTCACTTTTAGTCTATGTGTGTCTCTACAGGTGAGGTGGGTCTCTTGAAGATAGCATATACTTGGGTCTAGCTTTTTTTTTTCTTAATTTTATTTTGTCGATATACAACGTGGTTGATTATTGTGGCCCATTACCAAAACCTCTCTCCTTCCTCCCCTCCCCCCTCCCACCCAACAAAGTCCTTTCTGTTTGCTTGTCATATCAACTTCAAGGAATTGTAGTTCTTATGTCCCCCCCCCCCCCGGTTTTTTTTTTTTTTTGTGTGTGTGTGTGTGTGTGTGTGTGTGTGTGTGTGTGTGTGTGTGTGTGTGTGTGTGTGTGTGTGTGTGTGTGTGTGTGTGTGTGAATTTATTTATTTATTTTTAGCTCCCACCAATAATGGGTCTAGCTTTTTAGTCCAATCAGTCAGTCTATGTCTTTTGAATGGGGAGTTTAGTCCATTCACATTTAGGGTAGTTATTGACAAGTGTTGCTGGATTCCTGTCATTTAATTGCTTCTTGTTTAGATCATTTAAATATCTTTTAATTATTATCTCCCCTTTTATTTCTCTTCTTCAATGTTAGTTGGAAATTTAAGGTGGCATGATTTAGCATCTTTCTCTTTCTTGCTGGCATTTTTGTTTTAATGGTGGGTTTTGCTCTTTCTTGTGTATTTGTGATACTGGTCACCATTATTCAGATTCCAGATGAATGACTCCCTTGAGAATTTCTTGCAGGGCTGGTTGGGTGGTGGTGAACTCCCCCAACTTTTGTTTGTCTGGGAAATACACTATTTCTTCCTCATTTCTGAAGGAGAGCCTTGCTGGGTAAAGAATTCTTGGCTGACAAATTTTTTCTTTGACTCTAGTATTTTGAACATATCATTTCACTTTCTTCTGGCCTGTAGGGTTTCAGTTGAGAAGTCTGCTGTTAATTTGATGGGGTTTCCCTATAAGTGACCTGACACTTTTTTCTTTCTGCTTTTAGAATTCTGTCTTTGTCTTTGAGCTTTGCACATTTAACTATAATGTGTCTTTTGCATTGAGTCTGGGGACCTTTGAGTTTCCTGGATCTGAATGTCTGTATCTCTCCCTACACCTGGGAAGTTTTCTGTTACTATTTCCTTGAATAGGTTTTCACTACCTTTTCCTTTCTCTTCCCCTTCAGGAATACCCACAATTTGAATGTTAGAGTGCTTGAGGTTCTCTGCTATCTCTCTTAGATTTTCCTCATTATTTTAAATTCTTTTTTCCTTTTTTTTTTTGTCTGCCTGAGTTATTTCAAAAAGACCATCTTCAAGCTCTGAAACTCTTTCTTCTGCTTGCTCTACCCTGATGCTCAAGCTCTCAGTTGCATTTTTTATTTCATTGAGTGAATCTTTCATTTCTAGGAGTTCTGCTACACTCTTTTTTAAGGTATTAATCTCTTTGTAGATTTCCTCCTTCATATTCTGGGTATTTTTTCTTGTTTCTTTGTGTTCTCTAATTGAGATTTCCTTTGTTTCTTTAAGTTTTCTTAAGATCATTGCTTGGAGTTCTTTTTCAGACATTTCAAGGGTTCCCTCTTTCATAGAGTCTGACTTTGGAGCATTACTGTTTTCTTTTTGTGGTGTCATTTCTTCTTGTTTATTTGTAGTTCTAGTATTCTTTTTGTTGATGTTTGGTCATTTGGTAGAGGGCTTGCTTCTTCTGTTACACTGAGGTTGGCTGTGGAGTGGCCCTGGTTGCTACTGTGGTGATGAATTGTCTTTGCTTGACAGTAGGTGTGGGGGTGGTTATGTTAAACCACCTTGGGCCCTGTTCCAGAATCTGTAGTCATAGAATGAGCCCCCAGCAGTGCGCAGTTCTGCTGGGCTCACGGACCACATGGGCTGGCACTCCCCTCTGGGTCCAGGGAGGGGGGGAGGGGTTGCCTCTGCCATGTGGTTCTGCTAGGCTCACCTCTCTGATTACTTTTATATAGGTAAATGTACAATAAAAGCTAAGTGTGTGCACGTGTGGATACCAGATTGTGAGTGTTGGTGATACATAGCTTTGGTTTCTGATATAAATTAACGATTTCACAAGGCTTTCCATAGTTGGTATCTCATGAAGATGTACTATTCTGATTAATTTTGGGGGAAATTTCATGTCTTGCCCTGTGTCAATTGTCATCGTGTGGGTTTTTCTCAACTCTGTACCTCCTGTCTGGGTCCTGCTCTGTGCTGCATTGCTCTGGTACAGGCAGCTACCTCCTGGGCACATGTGCGTGGAGGCTGCATGGGAACTTGAAGCATAGCCAGGTGTAAGTTGAACCGTCGTCTCTGCCCCTACTCCCAGCCTCAGCTTTCACCTGCTCCTGGGCTGTCTGTGCCACAGTAGATGGCTCCACCATTCCAGCCAGTGCCAGGGTGAGTTCTCGAGTGTTTCCCTTCAGCTACCTCTTCCAAAGGATGCCTGAGACATGCAGATTCTCCTTTGTACTGGTTTCTTCTGTTCCTCCACTTTCTCCCAACCCTCATAAATTCTAGAACAGCCCACCATAACCTTTCACATGGTTTAATACATTCACTCCTAACCAGTTTTCCCCCTTGCAATCTCAATTCTTTCTAAACGTTTTCCACATTGTAGCAAGAATAATGCAAATCTGACCACCTCGCTTCCCGACGTGAAGGTCTTCAGAGTCCTCGCCATCCTCGGGAGGACGTCCACGCCTTCAGCAGCCCCCTGTGGTGCTGTCTGGCTTGCTCACTGCTTTTTCCCCAGATTCAGCTCTTGACACTTGCATTGCCCCCAGTGATCTCTGGTTCACCCGAATGGCTTTTTATTTCTATTTCTTTTGACTCCACCGTCCGCTTCCAGCAGGCTTTTCCTTGGCGAGTCTTTCAGCCTAGCAGTCTTCTCAGTCGTAATTCGTGCAGTACGTACACGCACAGCACTTCCATGTGCCAGGCACTGGACGAAGCGCTGCTAAGCAAAATAGACATGGCTCCTCCTTTCCAAGAGTCTTGAATGACCCAAGGAGGAAGTATGAGCTGTGAATGTGTGAATACAAGTGGCAGTAAGTAAAGGGAAGAACAGGAACTGTACGGGAGTGAGAAGAGCCTGAGATTGGAAGGGTGGTCAGGGAGGGCTTCCTTGTGCAAGCGACAGTGGACCTGAGACCTGCACCCCTTCTGGCTCTTTCTCCCACGGCTTCTTCCCAGAAGTTTCCCTTGGCCTTCCAGTGTGGGCCAAATGGCCTCCTAGGGCTCACGTGGCAGCAGGTCCTTCCCCTGTCAGGTTCTTTGTCCTGTTTGATTGTAGCAGCCCCTCCGTCTCCAGACTGAATTCCAGGAGGGCAGGGCCACACTGGGCTTGCTGCATCTCCAGTTCAAGCACAAGGTAGTTGCTCATGAATATCTGTTGGTGGTTTGGGGTAAAGCTGGAAGCTCTTTCTAGCAAAGTGAGAGACACTGTAGTATGTAGTCTGTGTTCTCTGCCAAAATTCTTCATGGACTGAAAAGATTTGGGAGCCATTATCCTCATGTCCAAGGTGTCAAACCCACAGCTCTCGGGTTGCATGCTGCTCCCATGTGTGGCCCTGAAAGCAAGTAGGAAGAGATATTGCCATTCATGATGAAAAGGAATGGTGCATCCTTTGAGGGACCTGTGATAATATGAAATATTTTAACGAAGTGAAAAAATCTGTGTTTTAATTGATAAATTGATTATGCCTGTACATTGTGGGGGGCGGGCAGAGTGTGGCTAGGACCCGGTGCATGTGGCTGAGGTTTGGGTGAGTGCAGCGGCTGCTCCTGTGCTGGATTCCGGCCTCACTGCAGGCTGTACTGAAACCACTGACGGTCATTGCTTTCTTTCAGGCTGGAAGATCTCTCCAAAAAAGGCTTTTGTAGCAGTTGACTTTACAGAACAGAGGCTGTATGTAAGCAAATATTATTATCCATATTTTCAGGCGCAGAAACTGAGGCCGAAAAGATACGTGACTTGTTACAGGCACAGATCCCAGGGCTGGGGTTAGTCCTTGGCTGGTCAGACCACGTAGAATTCTTTGCTGTGCTACATAGAATTGTGTTACTTCTCAGTAAATAGTGTGGACAATCCCTTCCTTCATGCTAACCTCAGCGTTTTTCTTTTTAAAGTTGCTTGGGTAGTAAGGCTGGAAAAGAGACCTGGGAGATGTCGTAGAGAGAGCTCCCGTGACATTCCTACCCTGAAACGGAAGCTGCTGCGACCCCTCCCGCCCTCTCACTCCCCTTGCTCTTTGTGACTTGACTTGGCTGTCCATGTTACAAAGCCTCTTCTAGAAGCTTGTGATCCTGCAGGGCACTTTGTACCCCCAGCAGTCCAGTTGCAGCTGGTGCCTGTGCATGAGCCCATGCAGCCCTTTCTTCCATGTGGGATGGGACATGTGCAGACTGCAGGTCCCTGCATCTTACCTTGAGCTTCCACTCTTAGGCTGTTTTGCTTCTGTTAAAAGCCTGCTGATGGCAGTAGCTGGGCCCATAATGCTTCTTGTCTGATAATTAATTGAGAATCCTTAAGGGGTGTGTGGCAGGGAGGACGTGGACAGGCCAAGGAAGGAGCAGCCCCTCTCTTTCTGTGGATGTGTGTCACCTGGCAAGCCTTTCCATCCTTGACGGAGGGGAGGCCGCCCCAGGTAGGACAGCTACCTGGATGGCTCTCGGCAGCTTCTGAGCAGGAGGGAAGTGTGGAGGCCTGGAAGGCAAGCATGTGACTACACTGGGTATTCTGCGTAAATCTAATTTCCCAGGAGAACACGTTCCTTCTGAAGTTGCTGAGGTCAGAACGGCAAGGCAGGCGCCCGCAGCCCGGCCCAGCTGAGGAGGAGACAGTATTCACACGGCGTTCACTCTGTCACAGCTGTGCTTCCTGAGCTTGCTCTGAGTCTTTGGAGTCTTTCTGGTTTTGTTAGGTACAAGCCAAGTGCAACTCGATGTAGAGAGGATGACAGGACGGGCTTTGCCGCTGGTCATAAGCCTGGCTGTCCTGTGGGGCAGGACATGGTGCAGACCTGTGTGCAGTGGGTGAGACAGATCCCGTGTCTGATCATGTCTGGGGGGGTCACCGAGGCAGGGAGGCGAGCGTGGTGAAGTGGAAGAGGGGAGGAGCGGCGTGGACACTGCGGTGAGGGGAGCTTGCTGGAGCCTCGAGGACAGAGGAGCCCTTGACTGGTGGAGTGGACAGTGCAGGCCGAGGGCTGTGACACCCCTTCCCCTGCTGCCTCTGTGGCTGGCCTTCCGCAAAGCCTAACTCTGCCAGCTGCCACTCCTCTGGGTCAAGGCAGTGAGTCTCTCCAAGACCCGCAGAAATGAAGCCATCTTTCCAGCCAGAGGTGGCACTTTGACCTGTCATTATTCATCAGTGCATTCTTACACTTGCTTGTTCAGCCTGTCCATCTGAGGGTCCAGGGGGCGGGGGGGAAATCGCCACCTGATCTCAATTCCAGGCAGCGTCCAGTTACTGAGGGTCTGCTCTGCACAGGCCCTGGACTAAGGGACTTCCAATAGGAGGAAAAAGACAGAAACAAACTGCAGCACGTGAAGAGCGAGTCTCATAACAGGTGGAAAGGAGCACCGCCTCACCTGTACGTTTTCCTGTTTTATCAGTGGCAAATCTCCTCCTTCTGTCTGCCCAGCGGAACTCTCTGTCACTTTGACTTTCCTACTGTCCGGGCTCCTCACACAGAAAGTCACTGAGATACATTTGGGAGCGTACAGTAGGTGCCTAGACCTCAAGTGTAGAGTTTGATGAGTTTTGAAATTTTTGCACTGCATCAGCCCCTGAGTTTGCTCCCGCCCCTTCTGGTCCTAACTCCCCATCTCCCCAGAGGCAACCCTTGTCTAATCTCTCTCGTATGGAGTGGTCCTGCCTGTTCCTGAACTTCGTATGAATGGATCATATGGTTTGCACTTTTTCGTGTCTGGCTTATTTTGCTTCATGTAATATTTTTTAAGATTGTCCTTTGTATTAGAAGTTCGTCCTCTTATTGCTGAATTCCTCTGTATGACTATACTGAAATGTGATTGTCCATTTTCCTGCTGATTTCCAGTTTTTACATGGTTGCTGTGTATATTCTTGTGTGAGTCTTTTGAGGGACATACGGTCTTACACCTCTTGGGCAAATGTCTAGGAGTGAAATAGTTGAGCCACAGCATAGGTGTGTGTGTAATGTTAACAACAATTGCTAAACCATTTTCCAGAGTGGACATCCCTTTTTCACTCCCCTCAGCAGTGAGGGAGAGTTCAGAGGACACTTCCTCTTCCCCAGTGCTTGGTTTTGTTCGCCATTTTAGCTGCAATCATTCTATTGGACGGGGAGTGAAGTCTGCATGTGGTTTCTCATGTGGAAGTGACCAGTTCTTGACATCGTCTCTTACATCCATCTCTCTCTCTCCTCTTTGCAGTCGTAGCCCAGCCTAGGTTGACTCAGCTGAGCCGAGCGGTACGCTCTTCACTTGCCAGCCTCCCTCCAGGCAGGCAGGCTGCCGCTGTTGCCAGGAGCTCTCCGATCATCGCAGACTTATGCTGCTGAAAACCTTTAATCACTAGTACCTGGATCGGGACTTTTGGGACTCTGAGGTATTTGCGATTGCAGTGGAGAGCCTTTCCTCAGCGCAGGGCTCGTCTGGTGGCGGGAGGGTGCACCCAGCCTGTCCACTGCTCCTGTCGCCCTGCCTTTCCAGCTGCAGCCTGAGGTTCTTTGTGGCACTCCTGTGCTCTTTGGGGTACATTCTGGGAACCGCCGGCTAATCAGACCCTCCCTGGCCTGGCTCTGTCTCTGTTGAGAGCAGCAGCTCCACACCCCTGTCACATTCCCTTCCAGCCATGTATTAGTGCTTTCAGTCCTGTGAACGCAAAATGCTGTTCCAAGCGTTAAGGCCTCTGCCCATGCCAGTCCCTGTCTTTGGAAAGGGCATGTCCCCACTTCCCAATGTCTTCCTGGAGGAACATGCCATCCTTTCTGCCAGGAAGCTCAAGCATGTCCTTCAGGAGGTCTTTGGGGTTGATGTCTCTCTGCTTTGTGCTTCCTCCTCCCTTGTGCACACCCTGCTGGGCAGCAGCAGCCAGAACCATCTTGGTTTTCCTGGTGCCCAGCAGTCTGACGTCTACTTGCCTTTATATTACAGCCTCAACCTACTTTTCTTACATCAGCTCCACAAATGCCCATGCTTTCATGTGCACTCCTGACAGAGTAGTACCCGCACTGTGCCATGCAAACCTCTCCCCACGCCTCTGCCACGATGTCCTCGCTTACCAGGAAGACCCTCTTCTCTGTGTTCTTTTTCTCCTCCCCGACTTGCATTGGTCCCTGAATTCCGTTTCCTGTAGGGAATCACCTCAGGACACCAAATCTAGCAGGGAACTTTCTCTTCTGAATTAGACTTAGCATCTTTAAGTTCCTTCGGCACTCACCTCCTTCTGAAGGGCCCACCTTGAAGATGCTCAGGAGCAGCATAACTGAGACTTCCTTGTACGTCCCTGTCCCTGTCCCACTCAGCCTGTGTGGGCTGAGATGTGTGGGGCTCATGTGCTGCTCAGTGCATGGAGTTGTGGTGAACAGCACGACAACAACACACAGGCGGGGAGGGATGGAGCTGCCTGCGGATTGTGGGTAGGCTTGGAAGACACATTTTACTGCCATCGAGGTTCGTCACTGGTCAGTTCTGTTTGGGAAAACACTCCAGCCTCCATGGGAACTGATTCTCTTCTATCAAGGCCACTGGCCATGTGGTGCAGGGTCTACTTGCTCTCCTTCACTCGAGCTGTGGATTTTGGGGGAGGGAAGCAGTTTTCATCTCTGCTGAAGGTGTCTCGGGCCCTCTGTTTGGAGTTGTCTGGGGCTAGCAGCTGAGAGTCTGAGGGCTTTGAGTCATTTGGCAGCAGCAGAAAAGCCCATAGCCACGTCTGATGGGCTCCAGTGGGCTCCATTAGGACTTGGGACATCGAGGCTTTGCAGCACAAAACACCCCAGCTTGTCAGAAAAATGGTACAGGCTCAAGTGGCTTCTGGTCTGGACAGACCATTTACAAAGAGCCTAAGTTAAGTGGGCAGGTGGCCAATTTTGAAGTCCAGTGCCATTTGAAATGAACACGCAGTGGGCGATGGCAGGAAACCGTGAACGGCACTGTGTTCACATTAGCTGTGCAGTCTGAGATACTGCTGGTGTACAGTATTCCTCTGTGTGAAGTTCATCTCAGAAATCCCTACCTGTCCTTGGATTTCGTCCTCCATTAAACCAGCTTTATGGTTGTGTGCATGCATGTGCATGTTTAAAACATAATTATCCCTTTAAAAAATATTAGCCCTTTATTCACTGGCCCTCTTAAAAATTTAGCCCTTCTAAAAAATAATTAGCCTTTTAATAATTAGCCCTTTGACATTTAGTCCTCTGGAGACCCCCCACAGTATTTCTCCTCCTTTCTTCTTTCTCCTACTGGTACCCAGCCCGGGGCTTTACCTTCCTCTTCTGTATTGTTTTCACCTCCAGAAGCCGTTTGCATGCCTCTTGCTGCCGTCCCTGCTTCCTGTCTGTGCAGGCTGCACCTGCAGTCTTTGGGCTGAGGCCTTGATCTTCAGAATCCTCATTAGGTCTAAGGACCACTGCTGGGAGGAGAAATCCAGACGCCTGTGCTAACTCTGCCAAGGACTGACCTTCTGGGGTCCCCGGATTGACCAGGCACTTGGGGTTCTCACTGCATGCCTCTTTGGTTGTCCCTGATGTTCAGGGTTCTTTTATGCAGCTGTTGTTTACATGACTGTATTTTAAACTCCCAGGGAAGGAACATCATCTTTATTTCTTTTGCACCGTCCTTGCTTCACTATCCATAGGAATTTAGAACCGTGTCTACACACAGTCAGTGCTCAATATATGTTTGCATTCTGGAGTATCTATGGGTAAATCATTCAGAACAGTGGTTCACAGTGTGGTCTTCAGACCACTGGGTTTCCAGAGACCCTTTCCGGGGCCTCTGAGGTCAAAACTGTTTTCACAACAATATTACGACGTTATTGGCTTTTCCCACTGTGCTGAGACAGACTGCAGGCGAAGGCGAGGGTGGGGAGCTGCTGCTGCCTTCATCCAGATCAAGGCAACAGCCCAAACTGCACTGGCAGTAAGTAAATTTAGTGAATAAACAGCCCCAAACCAAGGGACTGTCGATCATTCAGAACAGTGGTTCACAGTGTGGTCTTCAGACCACTGGGTTTCCAGAGACCCTTTCTGGGGCCTCTGAGGTCAAAACTATTTTCACAACAATATTACGACGTTATTGGCTTTTCCCACTGTGCTGAGTCAGACTGCAGGCGAAGGCGAGGGTGGGGAGCTGCTGCTGCCTTCATTCAGATCAAGGCAACAGCCCAAACTGCACTGGCAGTAAGTAAATTTAGTGAATAAACAGCCCCAAACCAAGGGACTGTCAGTTTCACTTAAGAAGTTATTACTTGAAGTGTCACACGTCAGCCCTTTAGTATGCTCTTTTTAGCACGCGGAGTGCAGGAACGGAAGCACACCTATAGAGCTTCTGCTCCGTACCCACATGCAAAGTTTGTCCTGAGGAAAAATATGCAAGTGTTTGAGGTGAGAAATGACCCTAGAGCTTTTCTACAGAATGCCAGTTTTACTCGAAAAAAGTGACTGGTAGACAAACTGTGTCTGTTCAGATTTGAATATTTGGGAGACATTTTCTTAAAATTGAATGAAATGAGCTTGGTGTTTCAAGGACATGATTGACTGTACTGAATGCCAGTTTTACTCGAAAAAAGTGACTGGTAGACAAACTGTGTCTGTTCAGATTTGAATGTTTGGGAGACATTTTCTTAAAATTGAATGAAATGAGCTTGGTGTTTCAAGGACATGATTGACTGTACTTTTGCCAGTGAAAAAATTCAGGCATTCAAGCAAAAATTATAATTTTGGAAAGTTTGTATTCATGATGATGGACTTGACAGCTTTTTAAACCTTAGAGGCTTTTCTGATGAGATGGTTGATATTAACGAATGTTCTTTTTCTGGTATGGTATAGTGAAATGTGTCAGCATGTGGAAGATCTTCATAACTAGTGAGAAGCTGCAAATGACCAATGCATGATATTACAAAACCATGAATTACAAAGCCCTCATCCAAAGTGCAACATAGACCAAAAGAAGTTTAATGTAACAGAGAACACAAGTTCACCAGTATGGTTTCATACTGCTACTAACCTTTAAGAAACTACCCCTTGTCAAATTTTGGTATAGTAGTAAAGTAAGAATATCCATAATTGTCTGATAAGGCTATTAAATCTTTCTCTTTCCAACTGTGTATCTGTGGGAAGCTAGATTTTCTGTATATACTTCAGCTACAACAGATTGAGTGCAGATGTAGATATGAAAATCCAGATATTGTCTACTAAGCCAGACATAAGAGATTTGCAAAAACGTAAAAATAAGGCCAACCTACTAAATAAACATTTAAAAAATAATTTTACATTTGAAGAAACATTGCAAACATTGTACAAAGAGTTTCTCTATACCTGTCACTCCGTTTCCCTTAATGTTAATGTCTTCCATGACCACGGTGTACTCATATTTGCCAAAACTAAGAAATTAACATTTGTATACAACTACAAACTATAGATTTTATTCAGATTTCCTCAGTTTTTCTATTACTGTCATTTTTCTGTTCTAGGATCCAATCTAGAATACCACGTTGCATTTAGAATATAGTTAATGTTATGTAAATATATATGTTAACATGTAATATTTTATTATTTTAGATGAGTTAATAAATACATATTTAAAAATTTTGTTAGTTTTCATTTCAAACACTGTAAATACTGATCGATATGACACACATAAACAAAAACCTTTTTGGAATCTCAAAAATGTGTGTGTTTAAAGGGTCCTGAGAACCAAAAGTTTGAGAAGTGCTGATGTAGAATATTCTGTAGGAAGAGAGTGTTTGTATTTGCAAACTGCTGGACTGGAAGGATAGTTACAAGGTGAGACTTATGTAATGTCTCTGGAGAGTCTTACTCCCTGCCCCCCAATGTCATCTATGAATATGCATGAGTGTGCAAAACTAAATTCAGTAAGAGAGAGTTGGGGTATCACAGACAGCACTAGATTTAGTCACCGCACAAATGAGTACCTTTCTGTACCTGGCCACATTCTAGGCACTTGGGATCAGCTATTCATAAGATAGACGGTGTCTCTACCCTTAAAGAGCCTGAATTCTTTGAGGGGAAGTTAGACAATAAGCACATAAAGAAACTCCATCACTGTATGTACTGGTACGTGATCTAAAGCAGAGAAATAGGCAGGGTGTGGTGTCAGCAGGAGGGAGGGGTGTGCCTGTCGGGGGGGCTTTCTTGGAGGAACATTCCCAGGAGGAGCTAGGTGCTTTTGATTGATGGGGGAGGCCAGTGCTGCTGGAGGGTGGTGAGCGGGGGTGGGCTGGGGGGAGATGCAGCTGGAGAGGCACGCAGGGTACGGCTTAGGTTGGGCTTCTAGGCCAGGTGAGGAGGGGTTTGGAGTTTGTTATCATTGTGTGAGAAGCTCTGCCAGGCCTTAAGCAGGGGAGTGACATGACCTGACTGGCTGTTAAAATCATCCTGGCTGCATGAAGGATGGCCTGTGGAAAGTTACACAACTACACTAGTTGTCAGGCAAGGCAAATTATAACTAAATAATGAAACATTTTGGCTTTAGTTATTATTTTAGTTATACTAAGTTTCCTATATTGTCAGAGCTAGGGCTCAGACCCTTCAAACCCATTGTACACACTGGGTCCCCACACCCCTCACACGCAGGTCCATGCTAGGTAATCGGGAAAGATTCTGGGAGCTGGTGGCAGATGACATCAGCTCAGTCCCCAGCTTCCTCAGCAACAGCAGCTTACAGGTCCGGTAGCTTACAGGTCCGGCGGTGGCCTTGCGGAGGGTCTCGGGGGCACAAGCAGCAGCAGCCTCCAGCAGCAGTAGTGGCCTCCCCATGGGCCCCACCTGCTGGCATCCTGGGAGTGGGAGGCGCCGTGGATCAGAGCCACTCATCCTTTATGCTTAAGTCATAACCCAGGACACCAGGGTGCACATGTGCAATTACACTAGACGATAACGAAGGAACACCTGGGTGCACGTGCATGTTTACATCAAATGCTTGGCAAGATTCTGAACATCTGAGGGGCCCTGACCATTTTCCTATATTTTCCCAACAGCCTGTAAGGTGGCAGGATGGGGGCAGGAGGGCACCGTGCAGAGCCCAGTGAGAGAGGATAGCAGCCCTGGCTCCAGGTGCGGTGCTGCTGATGATAGCGAGACATTGTCAGACTCGGGGTCTACTTGAGAGGTAGAAGCAAGGTGTCCTGCTAATAGATTGGATGCAGGTAAGTTCTGGCCTGAGCAGCCAAGTGAATGATCGTGCCACTGGCTAGATGGGGAAAGCTTGGGGGGCAGTGAACCTGCAGATGGTATCAGTAGCTCTCTTTGAGTTCAAATTAGATTTGAGCCTAGTAGGTCTCCAAGTATATAAACTACAGTTTAAGTGAGCAGATATTGCTGAAGTATCTATTCTGTGCAAGACACTGGCCTAGATGTTGAAGGAGATCCTCATGAATGAGGCACACACTCACAAGTAATAGAAAGTTGTGTTTATTCCTCTCTCCTGTCACGGTGCTGCAGACACAGAGAAGACAGTGTGAGTAATGCCATCTGGGTGGACTGTCTTCCTACTCTTTTCTCGGTTGTGTTGAGGATGACCGAGGCACAGATCATCCAAGAATCAGGGTAGGTGTGTTTCTTCAGGGGACAGGTGGCATGACTGGGTAACAATTTTGCAAGTTTTTGGAGCCCAAGAGATAAAATTGGATGTCTTTTATCTCTTGGGAAGCTTAGAACATTTTATCTCGCTCCTCCTTCCAGTATCTGTGGGAGGGAGGCAGGTGGAGAAATGTCACTACTTATAGATCTATGAGGAGTAAATAATGAAAGTACTCGAGACACAAAGAGGAAGGCTGTTTCTTGTGCAGTGCCTGGCCATGTTTGTTTGGTTCAGAGATGCTGAAAACAGGGCTGTTGTGTGTTGTGAGTGGCCAGCCAGGGCTGGTGCAGAGTGGGGAGGATTTGCAGGCTGGGTCCCCAGCTCTCTCCAGGCAGCTGTGCCAGGCTGACTTGACCACCTGTGTGATGCCAGTGAGGGGTGGTACTGTCAGCCTGACGGCAGCTTGTCCTCCCTGCATGACTTGCCATCTGCCAGGAACAGAGGGCCACAGCCTGCAGGGACCTCTGCACTCTCCTCAGGGTCCAGTCTTGGAGCCTTTCCAGAGCAGGTTCTTCTGGGGCAGCTGGGATGAAGCAGGTGCCGACTGTGTTTTTGTGGGAGCAGAGAAACCATAGGGAAGGAGTTTTTAAATTGAAATTGAGGAAAGAAATCGATGAAAAATCATCCCCTTGGCCGGCCCGGTGGCGCACTGCTACAGTGCGCTGCTTGGGAAGCGCGGCGGCGCTCCCTCCGAGGGTTCGGATCCCACCTACAGACTGGTTCCCGCCCACCCGCCGCGGGAGGGGCGGGGG